CATACATACATACATACATACATACATACATACAAACACACACACACAGGCGTAAATGTATTGGCAATTAATAAAGGTGTAAAAAGCGTGGCTTAACATGGGCTGTTTAGCAATCTATCCACTGCCGTGTCAAGTCAGACTGTGCTCCAAGCGCATCCACACTTTGGCCGGATTGACTTAAAAGCGCGCATGCTCAAATGGAGACTGTCTGCTGCATCAAGTCTGCCTCTAAATTGCTACCGTACCAGAGTGCCAAAACACATCACTCCAGGTTGTAAAGAGCCCTAGAGATGGAGAAGCCACGTGAGAAGGGGTGAGTCTGGCCAGGGCTGGGGTGTCGGCTGCCTCGGAGCCGGTGGGTGGAGAAATGTGTGTGAACAGGGGGAGGAGATCGAGTAGCAGTGGGCAGAGTATGGGAGAAGAGGGTAATGGAGACGGCGAGACGAGGAGGTTTGACCAGACCGTCTCCGCGTATCAATTAGACCCAGCCTGGCTGGTCTGGAGCACCAGAACTGGTGGAGTTCTCACTTCACTTTATCGCTTGCTGCCAACAGCAACCCTTGGCTTTTAGAGAGGATGAGCAGACAATCACAATCCCCACTCCATTTCATTCCACCACCACCACCACCACCACCACCACACCCCCGTGAAAGACGCCTGCTGAACACACAAACAAACAAACAAACAAACACACACACACACACACATACAAACACACAAGAGTCGGTATGCAGATGCAGTTAGTCTGCCCCGAGTTCAGATAAACACCTTTAAGGGCGTTCTCGGCATAGTTCCATTTGGACTGGACAACTTGTTGTTGCGTCAAGTCTGCGACAAGAGTTATGCCAAATTGCCCACAAACATGACACATACAAGCTCTCTCCAGGCATTCAACTATGTACATCTTCCACACACACACACACACATACACACACACATACATACCTACACAGAGGCGGGTAGAGGCGCCCGGTGTCATTAAAAGGTGTCGACAATGTGTGTTGGCCAGCCTCGTGGAGAGTGTGGCTCTCGGACGCAGAACTTTCAACGAGTCAAATGCAAGACGAGACGTCCAACAAGAAAGGTACCCAAATCTCTGCTCTTCCCTCATCGAAAAAGGTCGTAAGGTTGGCGTGCGAACCGTCATCTGGACGCATAGTTGGCTCACTCACAACCACGACGGGACTCGGGCCCAGGAAGTTTGAGGTCACGTGGACAGAGGCGTATCGAAGTAGGGTTTGTGCCACGAAAAAGGTCTTTGCAGGCAGTCAGACGTCGACTGGCTGGCCGAAACAGCAAGTAGTACATTTTGCATTCTACTCTTTAAGCATATAAATATATACATTTATATCCTAAAAATGTAGAATTCCAAATGAAATCCTCGTCATTTCAGCGAGCAAGTCGGCTTTTCTGGATGGTCTCCCTGTCTCTTGATTAAATTCTAAAATTCAACCCTAAAAATGCAAACATTTTACTAGTACACTTGCAATAATTAGTACATTTTTCGTTTATAAATAGGTTTTTGGAACCAGCAGCGAATTTATTCACACTGGTAGTTGCATTTCCTCACAAACTGACGAGTAAGCTTTACGCTTCCATTCAATTTCACATACTTCGCATAAGCTATTCTCATCCATGGTGGACTGCAGAGTGATAACCTCAAGAGCCTACTTATAAATGAAAAATAAGTAGTATAGGATGTGTTCACCCTAGTTCATTCAATTTCACATAGCCTTGCTTCCCCAAAAGTTGTTCTCATCCACGCTGAGGTGGACTGTAGGTTCAATCCTCGCATAGTTCTTAGCAACAACCTCAGCGGGAGCCGAACCGTGACAGTGCAGCCAGCGAGTTTGACACGTTAACCACTCGATCACACCGCCACGAGTGTCCTTGGGTCACAGGGCAGATGTGAATTTCAAGGAAAGCCAGTTCTTTTGTGGGATTATCGATGAAGCAAACTTATTTTTCGTATTTAATTAGAGTTTCGAGACGACCGGTAAATCAGTAATATAAGATGTATTCACCCAATTTCGTTTATTAGTATGGCGAATAAAATTCCACCACATAATGTGATATGGGAAAAAGCCTGGTTTTTCGTGAAATTCACATCTTTTCTGTAACTCAAGGTCGCTTGTGGCAATGCGGCGTGGTGGGCAACATGTGTAAGTTATACGCTGCACCGTCATGGTTCGAGTCCGGCCGGAGGTAGTGACGAGAATAACTGTTGGGAAGCAAGGCCATGTGAAATTTAATGGAAATGAGAGGTCAACCCATAGGACTGTGGAAAGACTAAATTATCATCACTTTAGCATTTTAAATAATTATTATAATTACATACGTGCAAATACACTCATAAATCAGGAGAACTTCAATCTTTTCAGCCTCAAATGTTGCCATAACCCATAATGAGAAGGGATTCAATCAAATTTCTTTTATTTAATCAACATTTTAGAGAATGCTTAGCTAACACACGTACACCAACGACCAACACTTAAAAGACAGCATCATTATCATCCTAAAAATGTGGTGTTCTAAATTAATTTCTATTTCCTTATTTTTCCCAACACTAATGCAAGTTTAGTATTAAAAGCATTTGCCCATCTACTCAAAATCAAAATACAAGCAATCATCCTAAATAAGTGCTCTTTTAAATATAATTTGATGAATACGCGACTACACTTAAATAACACTAAATTCTATAGACCTATTAGGTTAAATCCATACATAAATATATGTCATTTAATTGAACTTTAAAATTAAATGATTGTCTTGAAATATTCTTAAATGGAAGATTTTAAATTTAATGGTATTAGATAATTAAGTCTAAAAAACTACATTG